GATTTTTTTAGGGTAGGGAAGGGGTTCAACCTCCTTGGTTTATTAAGGTTGTCATTTTTTGCATTTTATTTCAATACCTTTCAAAGAGTTTAATAGTAACATCCATAGGAATTCAGCGGCCGCAGTACAATATAAGCCTTGTCCATTGGTACACACAACATTGGTACACATGGAAAAGGGTTGAGTCTTTGCTCACACTGCTGCAACCATATCCTTGCTTATTTTGGCATCCCCTCCCTCCCCCAAAGGATAATTCTAGAGCTACTTTCTACTTTCCTATGTTCATAAGCAGGGTCATCTTTTAATGCCCTAAGGTTGCACATATCTTTTAATTCTGTAAACAAAGAATATATGTAAACTCTTCATCTATTCAAATGTATGCAATCACAGCTTTCATTGCCTCTTGCTTATAAATAACTATTCTTCAATTTTTTAAGCAGTGTGTACTTGAACTCTGCATAATACACTTCTGTCATATTATTATTTCACATTTGAATTTGTCTTGAACTTTGGAAACATTGACTTGAATTTCTGGAGAAGAAATGGTGAACTTAGTATAGTTGACAACTGTGGTGGATAACCATGGTAGAGTAAAGAGTGAGTAGATTCATCTCCACACAAGGAGAGGATTCGAGAACCCCACAAATGCTCCACAAATAGTATAAGAATTGCTCCTTGTCTCTGGCAGGTTTAGAGCTCCAGGAGATGAGGGAATAACTGTCTCCCTCAATCCATGGGCAGCACTTTAAAAAAACCACTAGATTCACATACTTCCCTTTTTAAATAACTTTCAGAAATTACTTGTTAACTTTTTTAGCTGTTAGGAACCTTTAGATCAACCAGTTTTATAGCACTGAGCTTCCTTCAGTCCTTAGCAAAAAAAAGTTTTAAATATAAGTTTTAAGAACCATTTCTTAATAAACAGCAAAAATGTGATTAGAACTTTGATTTTGGAAATGAATATTCTCAAGGAATAATAGATATCTGCCAAATGTAATATGACCTAATACATTCCGGCAAATATAAACTGCAATTTATCCCTGGTAATTTCCATTCCAAATGTTGGGGAGTGTTGTAAAGTTAAATCTTTAAAAAAACATTTGATAAGTAAATTGGATCGCAAGCCTTTTTTTTTTTTTTAAGAAGTACACAATTGGCTAGAAGGCATTTTTCGTATTTTGTAACAGCTGACCCCCAACTGCTTTGAATAGTTTTGACCAACTGCAAAGAAGTAAAGCTGAGACAGCAAATAACCCGAAAGGCAACTGCCCTGAAAACTGTCTTCTAATTTTGATACATCAAAAGTATCCATTTTGTGTAATTATTCTACTTATTTCGGACATGTCAAGTAGCTACTGCAGAGGACAATCTCAGATCAGTCTGTGTTGGATACAAAGTTCTCCAGGGGCAAATTCAGCCCTCCCAATTTCTCTCACACAGGCCTAGCAATAGAGCTGGGCCTCATTTCCATCCAGCCTGTAAAGTGATCTCTTTGGAAGCATCTGAATGTAGACCAGCTGTCTTTTGATTGCCTATACAAAGGCATATTGAATCCTTAGGATGGAATGGTGATGTGAAGGGTGTATACAAGGGTGTGTGAATGTCTATAAATGAGCTGCCAATGTGTAAAAAAGACTCCTGTTTTGCTTAGTTCTTTTCCTAAGTTGTCTCAGATATGAATGGACTCATCTGTTCCATTACTAATGTCAACTAAGTCATTAGGACTTGGGTTTGTTTTTTTTCCACTTGATAACAAGGACTGCTATGGCTCCTTTAAACCCCTTTTAGTTCCAAGTGATCAGGGATATATTCAGGGAAGGGATTAAAAAAGATGGCAGCCACAACTATGTAACCAAAGCCACACCCTTTTTTTATCACACATCACAAGTTAGAAAGAGATGAGGTTTTGATTGCAGTGTGTCTGGCCTCTTGCCAATTTTTTTACTTCCCTATGGATATCTCTGCAAGTGATTCTAGAAAGTGCTATTTTTAGAGTGAGGCTAGGATTTCTGAACAATACAGTATGCATACAGCTGTAGTTCTAACATAATTTTTGATACAATGTATGGATCAAACTACAATTTCTTCTTTCTGAAAAATTATGTTTTCCAATTCACCAATATATAGAAGAGTAGAGAATCATATCTTCCTATTTAATAATTTCTGTATTGAAGGATCCATTTATTTGAATACAAAACAGATAAAGCGGTTTCCCTCTATGGTACTAAATCCCCATGAAATCATTTTTGATCATCTGTCAGTTAAATAGTTCTAATTCTGGTCTGGAGGAAACTGAATTTCTGTTGTAATTGGAATTGGGAATTTCCAGAGACTTATGATTACAATTGCCACTATCTCTCACTATTGGACGTGGTGATCCTAAATATTAGAAGATACAGTTGAACAAATAACCAACTATAGGTTCCTTCTCCCTACTCTAAAGGATCAGGTGCATAGCTTGTGGATTTATTATTGGTAGGAACACAATTATTGTAGTGGCAAAAAGAAGTTCCTATCTTTAGATCATGACACTCCAAGTGGTTTTACCTTAAGAAGGATAATACCATCACAATTGAAGGACATCAGTTTGGGGATGACTGGATTAGCCCATCCCTGCTCAGTGTCATAAATGCTTAGCATGGTCTTTGCCAACTTTTCTCTCTTTCAACTTCCATAGATTCCTAGCCAATTAGAGCAGTTGTCACCCAGTGCACTCTGGAGGGCACTAAGAAGTCTGCCTTAAAATCTTAAGGGCAAAGGTTGAACGTCTTTTGATTCAGATATAGTAATAGTATTGAGTCAAGATTAGCTGTCTTTCCCTTGACAGGTATTTCATCCCACAAAGGAAGATAATGCAACACACACCTACAACTAAATAGCTTCAACTGTTTATGATAGAATTTACCCACAATAGCCAATCATCACCAGCCAAAAACTTAGTGAAATGGAGAACAAATGTGGAAGAAACCATCTTTAATGGATTTGTCAATTCTCTAAGGAGCAAGCAACCAAAGTTTAGAATTAGAAACCAGAGGCAGACAAATTTCATGCAGACAAAGGCTACAAGAATGGAGCAATTAGAAATGATCTATTATGTCATAGAGATGTTTTTTCTCCTGATTTTCTCCTACACTTAAAAAAACAACTTACGTTAAATTATGGTAGCTTAAAACACACATATTATATGGTTTGACAGGAATTGTAGTATTCTGATGTTTAGAATTTCTAAATGAAGGGCACTGAGAGATCAAAAAAAATCAAGAACTTAACTGCAACCACATAATTGAAAGTGAAGCATCATTTCAGATGCCTCACAATAGATATAAAATGCTGCAGCTCTTTAACCACATGGTCACAGCCACCATCAACTTCTTACATTTATTTCTTGCTTTTGGAAAAACATACAAATCTTTAGATACCTAAACAGAAGAAATAAAAATAAGAATGGCAACCATTTTTAAAACATATGTGGCACATCTTATTAATGAGATAGTGACCCTGAGCAGGACATTCTCCATCCCATAAGGGGCCTCTCTTGCTGGCCTCTTTTAGAGACAGAAGCCCTTTAAACCACAATAGAATATTAAGGAGAGCCCAGCAGCCAAACGTAAACATGTCTTCATGCTAAATCACCTGATTCTGCAATGATCACATGTTGACTGAACTAATTAAATATGAAAAGGTTAGGAGAAGTATTCCATGTTGAATAGAAAAAGCATGATCTTTTTATGAGAAAGTTCCTTCCCTGCCCCATGTTTCAATTTTGGATACTGTAACGCATGTCCTTGAAAGAATCAGTGAAGAATTTACAGAAAATGTGACTCAATTAAACATAGCTCCACATGCCCAAAATTGCATTCTCTTTTTGACACCTTGGCTTCACACATAAAAAGGGGGCTCTGCCACTTCTTCCTTCCTATGGGACTTGCTTAAAGCAAAACTCATTACAGAGTGGAATTACAAACAGGCTTGGGTTTGATTAGTCTTGAAAAGAACAAAGATGATTTTGTCACTAATCTAGTACTTTAGCCCCTTGCATTTTCACTTCTAAATTTTCAAAGACTGAGATGTGGTCCTGCCAGAGCTCCAGTTTGGTCTTTAAAGTCCAATAGTCCAATACCAGAAAATAGCAGATTTCCCAGGATTTAGAAATTATGAAAATTCTGACAGAGAAAGATGCAGTATCTACCCAACCATATAATATTTAGCACAATTATTCTCAAGGACATTTTTTAAAGGATAAATCATTTTAAACTCTTAAACTTCTGCCTGCACTCAGAATGGACCAAAGATTTGAATCAATAGGATTTCTTAATCATGATTAATGCCTCATGAATTTCAATGAGTCTATATACTGTACTACCTTGTGGTAGTCAACATAGATATGCCATTTTTAAATTACTACTGGACCACCTTTCTTTCTTTCTTTCTTTCTTTCTTTCTTTCTTTCTTTCTTTCTTTCTTTCTTTCTTCTTCTTCTTCTTCTTCTTCTTCTTCTTCTTCTTCTGCTTCTGCTTCTGCTTCTTCTTCTTCTTCTTCTTCTTCTTCTTCTTCTTCTTCTTCTTCTTCTTCTTCTCCTCCTCCTCCTCCTCCTCCTCCTCCTCCTCCTCTTTCCAAGAAAAGCATTCAGTGAATGTGTATTGGATTTCCCCCTCGTCTGGGACCCCCTCACCTCCAAAGAGGTTGCTGCTGAAGGCATAAGACGAAAAGAAAGCCTCCCACACTTCATTGGAAAGCAAGTCTGGCAACCATCATTCAGTAAGCCTCCTTTCTACTTATTTTGTCTGTAACATGACAGATTTGTCTAGTAGGAAACATTAATTTTATTTATGCTGTGGCTCTGCCACATAACCTTAGCATATGTTGACATATGTTTCAGGAAGGTGACCTCATGCCTGAAACAGATCACATATAGTAGATGGAGCCAAAGAAGGGCAAATTAAGGTTGTGGGAAAGTCAAGAACAGAAAACAAGACATAAACAGAAAAGGCAATTTCAGATAATCAGAATCTATTGCTTTATTAATTTGTCATATCAGCCATTATGATAGAACAGTGGGAAGACTATAGGAGAAATGACACATACAGGATACTATTTGATATTAAACGTGTTCATTAATTCATTTAACTCAGTATTATCACCATTGGTGGCAGAGGCTCAGGTATTTTTCCCAACCCTAACTACAAAACTTTGGGACTGGAATAAAGTCATGAAATGACTTTACTTTCACCAAAATAATACACATTCCTTTAAAAAAAATGCTGCTAAGAACTTAAAAGATTTTATAGCAGAGCTGTAGTGGGACTTTAATCACAGATGCCATCTTGATGTTTTTAACCTCCCCACCAGCTTTCCTGAAAGCGTTACCATTTTAAAAATGCCTACTGCCTTCTAGAGTTTATTTTCCTTTATTTTTAGGAATTACATTTATTGCCATATGCATGTATTCATTGTTCCTTTAAGAACAAACAAACTCCAGATTTTGAGTTGCCCCCCAATACACATAAATAAGATTTATTTACATTTATTCACATATAAAACCGCCTTTCATTCATCAAAAAGCACCTCCAACAACCCCATTATTCTGTGATACAGGATGATTATACTAAAATCATATATTTATAACAGTGTCTGAAACAACAGAAATATTAACCTCTGAAAATAACAGAATTCAAAATCTTCCTCCTTTGGCTGTTTGGCTGTGACTCACAAGGTCCTATAACCAAGATATATAAAAATATAAAACATTGAAGATGAAAAATAGAAACCTGACACCTTAACATCCCTGAGTTTGTAGGATAATCCTCAACACCACTTATCTATGGCACACAAGATGCTACTTCTTGAAATATTTCATCCTCACTCTTTGAATCGTGAGGAGGAGGAGAGAATGGGCTAACCCAGGGGAAGTTCCTCCTCTCTATTTTAACACCTGTCTTTTTGTTTAGTCTGCTTCATGAACACATACACAGATGCAACTGAAATGAAATGCACAACAGTGCTAGTTAGGATCTTTGGCTGTCAGAATTTTCCATTAAAATCTTCTTTAGATCAACACCAGATTAGCTGTTATTTTTGCATGTCATTTCTGGCATCATTACAGTTTACTAGAGCACCCCATTGAACAGTGTAAAATCTGCACAAATCTCTCTCATTTTTTATCTCATCAAGATCTGTAGAAATTCACCTTGATCTCTCTTGAGCTTTTGAACGGAAAGACTTCTCTGAATTTGGCTAGCATATGATTTGAAGAAGCTATATCAGGCTTAAACACTGCAAACAATTACACACAATCATTCAAATCCCCCCCCCCCACACCATTTTATCATCACAAACTTGTGGCACAAAATGGAATGAAAGATATTTCATTTTTAGAAAACAAAATTCAGAATTTGGAAATAAAAAAGAATAAGAACGCAAAGCTACAGGGAAATATCATCGTATAATAGTTGGGAATAGATATACATGAATGTATATCTTTGTATGTCTTCAAAATACAAAGTACTTGCTCATTATTTTTGTTGATTCAAAATAACATCTAAACATCCAGCATTAATCTTATAGGGAAAACATTATTAATATTGCAATAATATTTTGCTATATTTAACCTGCATTGAAAGTTCATTATTTTATTGTGTTAATTTTTCTACCCACAGAAAACAGGTTTTTGCTCACTTTTGAATAGCACTTTAGTGATATTTAGTGAAAGATTAACTTTATATTTCCAGTGTTTTCTATAACATCCAAACAGCTAACAGCAAGAACTGAATCAATTTCTTGTGTTACATCAATTTATATGCATAGGGAATCTGAACATAGAATTCATTGAAGAAAATATTGTTGGGCAATCTCTTAATTTCTTCAAAATCTTTCCACTTAAAACACTGCCTTTTGAGCTTTGCTACTAAAGTTGGTAATATGGACCAATTTGTTTAACCCTCGCATATCTTTAAAAAATGACAGTTAATATAATTCAATTTTAATTGAATAAGCCATCTATGAATTATTGTCCATAGTTAATTCTTGATGATTTATTGAAATTGTTTTAAAAGGAATTCAATTGCACAGAATGTTGTAATAAGATTTATGAAGATCAAACCCACACTATCCTTCCTGAAATATTTAAGATTTTCAAGGGACCCTCTTGTTTTATAAAAAGGTTTATGAGATTCATTTTCTATTTTAAAAAAGTAGACATACACTATATTCTGAATATTTCAATTGGATTTACTCAATTAGCTACATATTTTATGAAGGAATGCAACTATTACATTTGCAAAATCTCATTAGCCAAAAAATTGGCATTTATTATTAAAGCATAACTGTATAAAATATTCTATCTTTAAATTCCATGATTTTTAGCAATTTATAAACCTGAAACTTTTAAATTGGCAAAGGGTATAAGTTTGAAGACAAATATTATCTTAATTTTTCCCAATCTCTAGAGTGAATTTTAATTATGTATTTAGATGACAGAAATTTTCTTTTTTAACTGTCAGAAAGGAACAAATGCATTCAGGAAACTAACAAAACTTGCTTGGAGACTGATAGCTTCTTCTGCTGTTTCTTTGTTTCATCTAGTATATTTCAATATACACTCTAACCATAATAACACAGTGGCCTGCACTGATTCTTCCCTCATCCTTCAATTCCCTATATTACCACCAAATCTGCTTTATTGTTTGAAGAACTTTTGGGAATTTATGAAGGTGCTAGTAAGATACACTTTTCCACTGGGGAGCTTACTGAGTGGAATTGTAATCAGGAAATGCTCCTGGCTAGTGAAAAATAAATGAGATTCAAGTCTGTATTGGCTACATTTGATGACCAAATAGCATAAATCAGAGATGCTCTGTAAAAGAATTGAATTCTAAAAAAAAAGATACATGTGTGAACAGTGTGAGAAGCACTCATCAATTAACATAAAATTAGAAATACTTGGGTAGCTTTTGATCTCTGTTCACAAGTGTTGGAAGAAATATCCATTTGGTTCAGTTCCAAGCTGGGAAAAAGACACTGGAGACAAAATGGAGGCTGGAGGCTGATTGGAAAGAGGGTCCATTTATTGAAGAAACAGAACCACCAAGCATGTGTGATACCTTCTCTTGGACCTTGCTCTTGAGCTTCCTGTTACTGTGCAAGAATATGTATTCTATTGGCTGTTGTCAGACTCCCATGGGGCCATGTGCAAATCCTAGGAGTTTGTCTGAGATAAGTTTCGTTGAAGCTTGGGCTGATGCAATGTCCTTAGGAGATTTTGCAATGCAGTGAGCCCTGCTGCTTGATAATCCTATTATGTCCTGGAGAGTCATGTCTTAATCCCATCACCCTGGAGCTAAAGGTCTTTTGTTTTGTAGATAGGCTTTCCTAATCCTGCTGGGGCTATTAAGACAGGTGAGGGCTGCTTTCCAAGAGTATGTTTCTCCTTTAGGGATATATAATATTCTGCCTTTTTAAATATTTCTCAAAATATTTCATTCTTCTAGGAGAGGGGTGAGTGCTAACTTTGTACAGAAGCAAGACAGAAGTTCTAGAAGATGTGGTTTGAGATTGAAAAATATTGTTAAAGCTTTGAGTTCTGTACAATTCCACTACTCCATCCCTACAACCACCATTTTAGTTCCTCCATTCTCTACTAAGCTTATTCTTCACTGCCTCTATCTTTGACTGTTTTTTTTTAAAAAAACCTCAGCTCCTGGTGACATCAGGCTTCAATTATCTTGGTAACAAGTGGTTTGTCGTTGCCCTCTTCCATGATATAATTTTTAAAATAACCATTGAAAACCTTCTCTTGATGGTCAGAAGTGTTCCAAAGTGATGTAATTTATCCCCCAAAGTCAGTAAACACAATTTACATTCATTTGTATAATTTACTCTGGGGCCAGAACTGAAACTGTGGACCATAAGATTGATTTTATATGCCTTCAAAAATGCACAAGCTTGACTTGTTGGCTTTCAGTTCATATAATTTTTGACAAAGCACAGAATCATTAAATCAAAGCTGAGGACATGAGAGTTATTCCATCGGTCTTTCATGCCTTCAGTTTATCAGCTGGGAGGCACATTAAGTAACTGACAAAAGTATCAGACAATTGGTTTAACAACCTTAATAATTGTTCTTAGTATTTCATGCAAAGCAAGGCTGTAAATCATGCAATCCCTTTTAACAGGTCCAGCTAAATTATGATTTATTAATGTGACAAAAGAGAAATTATTAGGAATTATAGGAGAAATAATTATATTAACTGTGTTTTATTTATTTACATAAAGTTTTAAATTCAATGACTTTGCCCCTGCTTATTTTTTTAAAGCACAGTCCAGACAGGCCATTAAGTATAACTTAGAGCAGGGGCATCCAAAGAGAGCTCAAAGAAGTCAAAATGGCAGGTGTGACTGCACAGTCAAAGACTTGGCCCTTAACGTGCATCACACATGCATTAAAAAGCAATGGGATTTTGATTGCATGGTCATGCTTGCCATCTTGATATTTTTTGATACCCCTCAATACCTTTGCTCAGCCTGAAATAGATTATGTGCTCCTGGAATGCTGCAGTTTGCATATCCAGTGAGCACCATCTATATTATCTGAGTAAGGTATTGTAAGATAGGCCAGTGTTATCACCCCACTGTTTCAAGAGTTTTTTAAAAAGAGGGAATATTTATTTATTTATTTATTTGTCAAACATGTACAAGATAGCAGGTATAGGTACAAACATAAACATAAACAAAGGAAGTAAGTACAGATAAATGGGGTCAGTAGGACAGGGACGGTAGGCACGCAGGTGCGCTTATGCATGCCCCCTTTATGTACCTCTTAGGAATGGGGTGAGGTCCATGGTAGACCGCTTGAGGTTGAAGCTGTGAGGATTTGAGGCTGTAACAACAAAGTCGGGTAGAGCATTCCAGGCGTTGACCACTCTGTTGCTGAAGTCGTATTTTTTGCAATCGAGTTTGGAGCAGTTTATCTTGAGTTTAGTTTTCATCAACTAACATAAGAAAAATCAGAGCTATAAAGTTTCTAAGAATAATTGGTAATAGTTTAACCCAAATCACCTTTTCCCATATTTAATCTCAATAATCCTGCACTGAAGGTTAAACTATTCCCATTACCCAATCAGAACCTTTCTTCTTTATTGGACAAAGGCGGCTTTTTCTACTTTATCTACAAACTGTAGGATGTCTGCTGCAAGGAGCTCTGGTTCCTCAAAAGCTGCAAAATGACCTCCTCGAGGCATGAAATTGAATGAAACGATGTTAACATACTTCTTTTGAACCCATGACCGAGGAATGTACAAGACTTCATTGGGAAATGTGGCAATTCCTGTGGGAACTTCCACAGGGAACCTGCAAAGCAATGATGTAATTGCACAATGAAAGGCATGCTCTTCTCCCAATAATATTACTTTCTTGAACCAGAAGCAAAAGATAAAGAGGTACAAAACAACTCTGTCTACACAAGACAATTGAACTGAAATTAGTAGGATTTATTTCCAGGAAAATGTGCCTTAGGGTTAAGAGTGGGCAGGAAGTGAACAAACTGCGGTCCTCTAGATATTGTTGGGTCTCAGTCCTGATTATACTGCAAGATGGAATTGGAAGTTTGTTATTATTTATTGAATCTGTATTTATTATTTAATTCAGTGTCTGAGGGCTGTTGGGACCTGGATGAGATGACAGAGTGGCTGTATTTGGACACCACCACCCTGAGACAAGGTTCTTCTATCTCTAGTCTTGGATGGGATTGCACAACAGACTTCGTACACAATCTGGGGGTCCTTCTGGACTTGTGGCTCTGGCTCAAGGAGCATGTGGTGGCCATAGCTAGAAAGGCCTTTGCACATTTTTGGGTAGTGTGTCAGTTGCATCCATACCTGGACCGGGAAGTCCTGCTCACAGTAACTCACACCCTTGTAACCTCCAGGCTAGACTACTGTAATATGCTGTACAGGGGGTTGCACTTGAAGACCATTTGGAAACTCCAACTGGTGCAATTGGCTGCACTGGTAGTAAATGGTGCCAGATACATGGCACATGTAATGCTATTCCTGCATGAGCTGCACTAGTTACCAGTGTGTCTATGGAAATTCTCAGTCATCTAGATCATGGCTGTCCCAATGGTGCTTTTTCAAAAGACAACTGGAATTTGTTTTAACTTGAAGATATTTTGCTTCTCATCCAAGAAGTTTTTTCAGTTCTGACTAAATGGTGGAGGATGGAAAGATTTACATTCATTGCAATCATCTGATCATTAGCATTCTCACTGAGGCTACTTGGAGGTTTATCTGTGCCCTGAGGGTCACCTGAATAGTGCAATTGGGTGTGGACCTTCTTGGAACTGCTGAAAGGACTGTATGTAAACAGGAGTTAGGTGGTGTTGTATCCCGCCCCCTCTGTTGAGAGAAGGCTGTTAAGTTTTAATGTTGATGGCCTCTTTGACCCCTCTTTCAAACCAGTGGTCCTCTCTGTCAAGAATATGAACTTTGCTGTCTTCAAAAGAGTGACATTTGTCTTTCAAGGGCAGATGGACTGCTGAATCTTGTCCTGATGGGTTTGTTTACCTACGTTGTGCCAGTTGTGCCATGCGTTTGTGAAATACTTGTTCTGTTTCTCCAATGTATAGATCTCTACCTGTCTCACTGAATTGTATTGCATAGATCACATTGCTCAGTTTATGTCTGGGTGTGTTATCCTAGGGGTGGGCAAGCTACTGCCTTAGTGTATTTTTGGGTTTAAAGCATGTATGTATACTTTGTTGCTTCAAAATATTCCTGAGTTTTTCAGACATTCCTGCAAAGTATGGAATGATAGTGTTGCTTCATTTGTTTTTCTCTTCTTTGTCTGTTATGGAGGAGCTCCTGCTAAGTCTCACCACTCACTGGAGCATAAAATAGGATTGAAGAGAGAACCTTATACCACCGGGCTGAAAGTTTGCCTACTAGCAAAGATGGAAAAGAAAAAGAACTAAAACACATCAAGGAAGCTTTCAGAACCCATGGCTATCCAACTGGGCCTTCATCAAATCCAAAAAAAGACCTAGCAGGAGCTACTCCATAACAGACAAAGAAGAGAACAACTGAATTACACCTAGAGGCAAACTGACAGCCAATGCAGTTTGCAGAACAGAGGTATAACATAGATCATCCTAGAGATACATATAATAATCTTCGTAGCTGAATTTTACACCGGTTGCAGTTTCCAGATACTCTTCAAGTTCATACAGAGGGCATTACAGTAATCCATTCTGGGGATGACTAGGGCATGAGTAACTGTGAATAGAGCCTTATGGTCCAAGGAGGGTACAACTAGCACATAACATAAAGTTGTGTAACAACCCTACTCAACATGACTGCTATCTGTTCCTCAAGCAGGAGTTGCGAGTTTAGAAAGACTCCCAAACTGCAGTGGATCTGGCAAAACCCCATCCCATTATCAAAGATGATAAAGTCTCAGAAGGCCCCAAAACAGAGAGCCACTTAGTCTTGCCAGGGTTTAGCTGAAGCCTGTTGTTTCTCACATTGTTTCTGAGATACTCAGTGACTGCAGTAAAGAGTTTTCTTAGGATAGCTTCATCATACATTCACATTTAAGGTGGCTGGCACATATATGATAGCGGAATAGACTTCAGACATTGTACTAGTAGGAATGCCTGCTTTAGAGCAAGAACTCCAAAATAGAAATATGGCAATCACTTACGTTTCATGTTTTTCTACGCCAATACCTTTCCAAAAAAGTTCTTTGTAGAAGCGCATTGAAGAAACCACACAACCTGAAGCCCAATAGATCATTATATTTGTGAGAAGGTCATCCAGAGTGAACTTCCTGAAAAAATACAATTGGATGCATTGCAATTAATCTCTTTTCACAAACTGTAGCTAGTGCAACTCACAGGAAATGTAGGCAAGTTGCCTTCTGACTTTACTCTGACTCATAATAAAGGGCCCCTATTGGGTTTTGCCAGCCCTTTCAGGCAGTACAATTGATATTCCTCTGTCCCCTCCTGGCATCTAAAGCACCACTAGCCATTTCACTCTTCCTCAACTGTTAGATTTAGCAGAGATCGCCAAATTGACTGCTTTGATCAAAGAAAAAAATGCAATTATTTTTGTTTCTGCTTGGAAACCACTTCTGGACTTTGTGGTTGATGTAAGAAAAAATGAACTTTGATTTTGGGATTTACTGATTAATAGGTTTGTTGTTATAGAAATGGCTAGTTTATATTATGTAAAAGTAAAATGTTGAGGTTTGATGCTATTATCTTATTCAACTGCACCAAAGGGGGTCGGAAGTCAACACCTTTTCTTTCTTTTTTCCCTTTGCCCCATACTTTTCCCTTCCCTTTTCCCTCCTTACTTCCCTTTTCCCTACTATTTTCTTTTGGATTTTTGTATTTTATATTATAAACTAATAAACATAATATGCCAACAGGAAAAGAGGTGTTAGATTTCAGCTCCCATAATTTCAGGCCAATATACTAAAGAAGTTGAAGTCCAAAATTACTGGAGCAACCCTATATTGGGAATGGTATTTTCAACATGAAAATGAAACATGCTGAGGACTTCCATTGCTAAATATCCTAAGGCTGCTTTTATGTCTCTGGAATCTATTTGGGGCTTGTTGCCTTTTACATTAGCCAAGCAGTTGTGTACAATGGGGAAGCCTTCTTCAGCTTCCTACCTAGGTGTTACATTTATCTTGCTTGCAAATTTCATCACTTTATTCAATTGTAATCTTTTAAAAATATCTTCCCCGAGGGAGTAAAATTATTATATGGCTAAGACCCAGGGATGAAATCTACTTACCTTCCCTACCGGTTCGGAAGTGCGCATGTGTGCATCATGTGCACGTGCCAACCCTCTGCACATGCACAAACCCTTCTGTGCATGCGCAGAGGGTAAAAAACAGGTTATTTCCTGGTTAAAGTAACCTGGCAACTAGCTATTGTAGTCCAACACATCTATGGAGCCCTGGAGTGGCTGCTATGCAAACCTATCTGGGAATAAATCCCAGTGATTTTATTTCAGATGTAGATGTCCATAACGTTTGGTATAAAGAAAATGAGAGAGAGCAGAAACATCTCTTACACTGACTTTGACAATCACATTATTCTTTTTGGCTGTGATTTTTTAGTCACTGCTGTTTTCTCTCCAGAATGGTAAGAGCAAATGAGTAGTTTGTGATATTTATTATTCATGAACTGAATCTTACCATATGCAATTAATAATATATTAGTAGGAAGATGACAAAAACATGAGCAATTACTGCCTATTAATACTGCATCTGTCATTCAATGCAAAGAAAATGCATTCAAATATTTCTGAACTGTACTCACTTTTAATAAACACCCTAATAAATCTCATCGCCCAGTATACCATTGCTTTCAAGGTAAGCTACCAGCTACTACCATCCCAAGCAATTTTTTAAAATTAAGGTTTGACTGAAATGAAATAATTTGATTTAATTTCATTCTAATCAATTCATGTGAAAGGAAATCATAAGATTTTAAAAACAGAGTCATAATCTCTCAAGTGCTCTGGGTGGGTTCTAGTAACAGTAATAACACATTAATAAGACGTTTTAAGATAAAATTTGTTGGCATCCAAAATTAATTTGACTCTTTAGGATCAGGGAACATAACCTACATCCTAGGAGCAAACATGATTTTTTCATGATTTTTTTATAGCTTTCAACCCTATCACCAGCAGATTTCTTTACTTTAAATCAGGGGTCCCCAACTCCTGGGCCACAGCCCACTACCAGGCCTTGAGCCATTTGGAACTGGGCTGTGGAAGTGATGGTTGAGCATATGTGCATATCCTCACTAGTGAGAGCAGTGAGTGAGGAAGTGCGTGTGCTCCATTTGCACCGTGCCCACCTCTCATGCAAATCAAGCTGTGTGTACCCTTGCCCACCACTCACGTAGAACCATCTTCTCTTTTCTCCTATTCCCCCCCCCCCCCCGGTGGTCCACAAAGCCGGAAAGGTTGGGGAACTCTGCTTTAAATGAATAAAACTGAATCCTAATATTAGATGTTATAGAATGCAGGTCAGAGGGAACTAATGGATTCATTCCCTTTCTGTGAGCAAGTAGTTGACCAGAGTAAAATGGAACACTAGATTATATGGATCTATAATTTGATATATCACAGATCGTAGTATCTCAATTACCTTATTTTGTTAAAATTATGTTTTAAAACATTTTAAAATTATCATAGATCCTTTTCCTTTTCAAGAAGTTTTTAGCAGAGAGATTCCATGAGGATTTTGTGCAATGTAAACGAAAGCTTCATCTGTCTATCTCACAATGCCATAATGTATTAGCTCTGTAATTTGCAAGCAAGTGCACAATTTATAAACAGCTTTATAATAGGGATGAGCAATCTATACTAGTCCCAAGACAATCAATGTCTCTTATTGAATTTCATGGGGCATCAACTTGGAAGCTGCTAAAACAATGCTTCCTATTCATTCATTATTTATAATTAACCATATTTTAAAAATTAGTCAAGTAGAGCAGTGATAAAGTACATAGATATCTTATAGATATTCCTGACTCCATAGCTTATGCCCCAGGAAAGATGCCCCACAAATTAAAAGTAGGTTTTGCACACTGTAAAAGTCACATTGAACTAAGAATTAAGTTGGAACATGGGAGAGCCAAGTATTTCTGTTCAATAGAAGTTCTTTTTTATCTAGTTCAATAAAATTACAATCATCAGCAGAACTCATTGCATGATTAGTCCTCAGAGGAACATTGTGGAGCTCCTAAGCCATCAGTTTTTAAGCATATGAACACATAGCAGAACAGCATAAAATAAATAGATACAATATAGTTTGGGACAATTAAAGTCAGCTAAATTACGATGGGGGTGGGGTGGTAAATAACACCTACTTTTCTAATCCTCCATCTTCTAGGTTTTTAAAACTGGGATCAGTCCATCTAGAAAACTTTTCCAAGATATATGCAGCCAATCCCACAGGAGAGTCATACAAGCCACAGCCTGGAAAAAAGAGAAAGTTGCGAGTTTCAATTTCGATAACTCTCAGATCAGTGGTGAAATCCAATTTTTTTTACTACCGGTTCTGTAGGCGTGGCTTAGTGGGCATGGCAGGGGAAAGATACTGCAAAATCCCCATTCTCACCCCACTCCAGGGGAAGGATACTGCAAAATCCCCATTCCTTCCCCACTCCTGGGGGAAGGATATTGCAAAATCTCCATTCCCACCCCACTCTGAGGCCAGCCAGAGGTGGTATTTGCTGGTTCTCCAAACTGCTCAAAATTTCCACTACCAGTTCTCCAGAACCTGTCAGAACCTGCTGGATTTCACCCCTATCTCAGATGTTACTTTTATAATGGAATATTTTATTTTGAAGGTGGGGTGGATTGCTGCCTAGGGAACTATTAGATAAAAGATTGAGAAGTCCACAACTGGCAGAAAAAGAAATTTGGAAAGGATCCGTTTTAACTTATTACAGTATGTGGTAACGAGAAACAGTGAGAGATTTGTCATTTCAGACGTGTAAGATTCTGTTAATGTAGTCTTACGTTAACAGAATCTTACAAATCTGAAAGTACACATCTCCCACTGTCTCTTTTTACCACCTGATTTCTTTTTCTTTCTTTTTTTCTTTTATTAGATTTGTATACCACCCTTCTCCTTTCGGACTCAGGGCAGTGAACAGCCAAAATAAAAACATTTGTACACAAAAGTTAAAATAATTTAAAAAATAATTAAATGAAATTTGGCCCATAATTTAAAACATTTCAATTAAAAATCACTATCAAACTTTAAAACCAACATGGAATCAGGCCAGCCCGGCTAACTGAAAAAAGTAAGTTTTTAGGGCCCGACGAAAAGTCCAGAGGTCTGGGATCACTCGTATCTCTGGGGGTAGATCGTTCCAGAGGGTAGGTGCCACCACAGAGAAGGTTCTCCCCCTGGGGGTCGCCAGCTGACATTGTCTGGCTGACGGCACCCTGAGGAGGCCCTCTCTGTGGGAGCGAACCAGCCGGTGGGATTTCATTAGTAATTTCATTAGTAATTTCATTACTAATTAAGCAGAATTAGAAGTAAAATCATCTTGTTGTGATTCCTGTTTAATCTACTTGTGAGACTGATGGATACATGATAAATTATTGTCTCCAGATGACATTTAATAAACAGATTCATGACAAGGAACATTATGGGAGAAACAGCATATATCAAACACCCGAAAAGAATTAAGACACTGCATACTGTTTACCAACATTAACAGTTCACCATTTAATCCAATGTTTTAATAAAGGGAAAACCAGAAGTTTAAGAATGTACCCACTGGTATCATATTAACTATGAGACTAAGTCAAGACTTGTCCCTGCCTTGTCAGCCTGCCAGCTTTCCCTGAAAGCAGAACTACTACTTAAGGAAAAGAAACTCATTGTGTTTCTCATCTGTTTCAAAGAATGCTTTAATTGGATAAATGGCAGTGCTTTTACTCATATATACTAGTACAGGTTCCACAACTCATGGCTTACTAACCACTAGAAGCTCCAACAGTTATCCACAGACCTCAGTGACTACTGGAGGTTCCCTAGCCCCTTTTGTGGAGTCCTTAGAACAGATTCATCTACAGAGGTCAAAACATAGCAGACCCAACAATGCATTTGAAGACCTGTCTTGGCATGTCAAAGAACAGAGCTTTGATTGCACCATTGCAGGCATTTTTGGGATCGCCCCTAGCAATCATCCGTGAGTCAGAATCCCCAAGATTACACTTCTTTAATTGGATGTCAAATCTCTGAATTACAGTGGTGCAATTTTCCAGTTAGTTATAAATGCCAAAATAAGCTTAAAATGTTTATTTTACTATTTTAAGGCCTTAAAAATGGGAGTAGGAGTAGGTTAGGGTCTTGAGAAATCTCAGGGCAGATAGAAGCACATAAACAAATATATATGGGCACAAGCTAAATCCTCTTTAGTTTTCTAAGGAATCAAAGTCAAAAGAGAAAGAAAAACTGTAAAGTTTTTCCTTCCTCACAGAAAGAAATGATTCCAAACAATTTATAATGAAAAGATGCTGAGATAACCAAGTAATAGAAGAATGTTAGCATGATACAGGATGAACTTCAGAGGCTTTACCTTAGAAACAAAGTAAGGAGTAGGAAAAATAAATTAATTGAAGCCACAGAAATTAATCTGACAATATGTAAAGATGGTAAGGACCATAATTTGATGTTTTTCATTCCATGCTATGAATGTGTCCATCATTGTCAGCTTCATCCACAGCTATGCAAAAACACACTATAGATTGAATGTATTGTATAGAAACACTGGCAACTGAACTTGGAGAGGCAAAAGTGGAAGAAGAAACTGTAATTATCAACCTAGGTCAGCCAGATCCTTTGCTAAGAAAACACTTGTTTAATGGCTCAGACAGTTATGAATTATCTGTCTTTATTATATCTCTTGATTGCCAGAAGTATGTGAGAGGCATTTGAGAAATGAGACTCATCATTCTCTTTACTATCAACACATGAATATGACCATATTTACACATGTCTGGACATGTCCTGACAATTTGGAGAGAAGCAAAGGCGCCCAGCGATGTGCAGATGTGTGCTGTTCCTTTTTGCTGAGAACCATATTTCTTTATTTCATTGATTTTGTAATCAGCCCCAATCTTCATACGCTGAGCAACAGTCAACAGTGTGAAAGTACAGAACACAGGCAGTCCTCGACTTACGATCACAATTGAGCCCCACATTTCTGTTGTGTGAAACAGAACAGTGAAGTGAAACAATTGTTATGTGAGTTTTACCTTTTTTACGACCTTTCTTGCCACAGTTGTTAAGTGAATCTCTGCAGTTGTTAAGTCAGTAGCACAGTTGCTAAGTCAATCTGGCTTCCCTATTGATTTTGCTTGTCAGAAGTTGCAAAAGGTGATCACATGACCCCCGGGACACTCCAACTATCATAAATATGAGTCAGTTGCCAAGTGCCTGAATTTGGATCACATGACCATGGGTAGTGTAATGGTCGTAAGGGTAAAAAACAGTCATAAGTCACTTTTTCAGTGCCGTTGCAACTTTGAACGGTCACTAAATGAACTGTTGTAAGTTGAGGACTACCTGTACAAGAAGGCAGACATTACAATGAATAGAAATCCTCTATCTCAGTGTTTCTCAACCTTGGAAGCTTGAAGATGGGTGGACTTCAAATCCTCTATCTCAGTGTTTCCCAACCTTGGAAGCTTGAAGATGGGTGAACTTCAACTCCCAGAATCCCCCAGCCAGTGCTGCTGGCTAGGGAATTCTGGGAGTTGAAGTCCACCCATCTTCAAGCTACCAAGTTTGAGAAACACTGTTCTATCTGGTTAAAAGCACAGTGAATCAGTGTTGCTTCCCATGAGGAAGGGACTGATCATACAGGGCCACACAGGATTTTTGCTTCTTGTCAATGCTCACATTGTGAGCCTTCATCTTCATTCGCATATTTGCCAGAAACTTTTAAGATTCCAGGGCTACTACTTCACTAGAAGAAAACTTAAGTCCAAGTACCAATTTCCTGGAGGCTTCTTGCTGCTTAGGAAAACATATAGGCAACAAGTCTCCTTTTGAGTTAGCTTTGACTCTTACCAAATATGCAGAAATTATTTTCTGTTTTCTCCCTATTTTTTTTAACCTCTCAGTTTAAACTACACCCTTGGGATTTCACCTACCTTCTAACTAGCTTTGACCCTGTTTAGTTTTTTGGTTCAGCCAAGGCTGTCTAGATTAGATCCTAGCACACCCAACTCTAAGTAAAAAAACAAAAGTGCATTTCCTGATTCTATAAAGACTTATCTGTAAAAACAAGTGCATGCAATGGTCAAAGCAAAAGCTTCTCTTACCTACAGTGTCTGGCTTTGTAGCTTGAAGGTGGAGATAGCCACTCTCTCGAATAATTCTATAGAGCACTTTTTTTTTTGAAAGGAAAGATCTTTTGAATTTCTTCTGCCTGGAAGCCAAATAGTTTTGGGAAATATTGTCCCAATAGAATGGAGAGTAGCTGCTTGAAGCTGATAGTGCTCAGGAATACTATATTTATGTGAATGCCTTTCACATGGCTAAAACAATTGTTTAGAAAGAAGTCAGGCACTTTAACAATAACAACATTGTGATTTATTCAAATTCATATGTTTATGTCTTATCACTAAAAATGTCACACTTGATTCTTTGGGATATTACAGATGTAAATACATCTTCCACAACTGAAATTTTGGGGAGATACTCATGTGACTCAGCCATCCTTCTTTAGAGTGGTACCTCCAGATGTGATAAGTTACAATATCTATCAACCCTACATAACATGTCCATTGGCTGAAGAAGATGGTCCCTGCAATTCAAAAGGTTGAGATGATGATTTGGAAAGACTAATTTGGTTTAAGAAATTAGATGTTCAGTTCATTGGCAGGCCATTATTGTTCTCAGTAATTCTTTTTCCCAGACCACATCCATTGATAGGTCACTGCCTCTGTGGACAACTCCTCCCTTTAATCAAAAATATATCCCAGAGAAAAGAGGCTCTCTTACTCTGCAGGGCCCTCTTGAGCTGCCAACTATGTGCTAGAGCCGTGATGGCAAACCTATGGCACGCGTGCCACAGGTGGCACGCAGTGCCCTCTCTGTGAGCACGTGAGCAGTCGCCTCAGTTCAGTTTTGCCACGCATGCACACGCCTCCCACCAGCCAGTTGGTTGTCAGGTCTCTGCCACACATGCACAGGGCATGTGTGGGGTGCACATGCGTGAGGGGTGTGCGGGGAGGGCTGTGCACGCATGTGTGGGAGAATGGCATGTGTGCAGGGTAGGGTGCGCATGTGCAGGGCACGTGGGGGCGTGCATGCATGCACAGGGGTGTGTGTGTGTGTGGGATGGGGCGCATGTGGGCAGGGCATAGACGGGATGGGGTGCGCATGCATGTGTGCGGCACATGTGCAGGGGCAGGGTGCAAGCACTGAGCCACATGTGCATGTGCGGAGGCCACACGCTCATTGCATTTTGTAGGTTCCGGTGCATGCGCTTTGGGCACTCGGTCCAGAAAAGGTTAGCCATCACTGTGCTAGAGTGTTAAGATGGGGATGAGGTAGGAAGCCCCATGGATAATTTAGTTTCTGTTCTCATTATTGACCACATCCCTCCAATGCAACATCTGACAAATTTACTGAGCACCTTGTTAAGGGATATTAAAAATACAATGTCAGTAGACACCCATCCATGCTCATAAAGGAAGAGAAGACAATAAAGGAACTAATATTTCCTAATAGTCCCTCCATTCCTGGGCTATGTGGCATCATCCCAGAAGCAGTTGCTATTTTTGGAGTGCCCCCAATTCAATGAAGCTGCCATGAAAATGGCAGCCATTTCTGGGATTGCACCATGTGACCAAGGAACAGAGTGGCCTGCTCTCCTTTCTTAACCCAGCCTCCAGAGATCTTCAAACAGTAAGTGCACAATGGGTGATGTGAGATGAGGAGGAAGGCGCAGGGCCCAATGGGGTGGGAAGCAGGCCCAAGTGATGGGAAGCAGAGCATGGGCTATCTCAGGGAGTGTGGGAGGCCTTTGGAGGCCTGGGGCAGAACCTGTACTAGGCCTCCTAGGAACTTCCCCATGGCCCCTGAGGCACCCTGTGCTCTGCTTAATGACTTGCTTGTTTAACAACCATATTGGGAAGAGCAAGGAAGGCGGGGTCATAAGTGAGGTGATCATGTGGGTGCTTCACTTAACGACCATCATGACTTTTGACTATAATAGTCAGGCTCCATTATGGTCATCAGTTGAGGACTAGCTCTACTATGTATTGGGAGGCTTAGCTTTTTTATTCTGAATTATCTTTGGAAGGTAGAAAATTGATTGCTTGTGAATGCAGACTCTGAATATAATTGTTATAGTGTAGCATGAGTATAGTACTGCAACATCACATACCATTTAGATGGAAATAACATAAAGAATAATATTAATAATAATTTTAACAACAGCTATTAATGAAAAAAGAAAATAGGAGAGAACTTTCCATAAACTTATTCAGTAAGATACAAAAGTGTAACTTGTGAAAGATTCCAATAATCAATCCAGTGCTACTTCTGTTGTAATAATCCAAGAAAATGGCATTTACATTTCATGATCCAAAATTTGGTCTGGTAAGACCCTGTTTTCATGACCTTTTTCAACAAGAAAAATAAGTTGAAATCTCTTGATGAATAAAAATTTATTGTTCTTTCCAGCGGGGCTCTGTAAAATGAATTTGTCTACGGTAGAATGATACAGTGCTATTCAACAGTCTAAAGCAGAATAAAGATACTTCATCTTTAAGCACTGCTTAGACAAATCTGATTTGAATTTAACTGTTAGAAAGATAAAATCTCACCGTGGAGCAATCTGAGCCATATTTGTGCATATCAGAGACCCATAGTCCCCTCCCTGAATGTAGAATTTATGAAAGCCCAATTTCAGCATTAACTTATAGAAGACACGGGCAGCACACATAGGATTAAAGCCTAGGGGGGAAAAGGAAGAAAAAACAAGTAAGACAATTTTTTTCTAAATTCAAATATAAGCAGGCCTTGCAATTGTTCTTTTATTCATATTTAAGATTGTTAACATTTTCCCCTGTAAATTTTTTACCAAAACAATGAGATCACAATTACCAATACAGTATTTCACTGGAAACTCCTTCCACATGTTAAATCTTGCCAGAAGCCTCAATAAACTCTATGGAAGAGATGCCTAAAGGCTTGTACAAAATAGACCCCCTACTCTGCTTTTAAATAAATTCATGCAGATAACACAGGATGTTTATTGAACTCGGGGGGGGGGGCTGTTACATGTGATTGGTGGCTTGTATTGAATAAGGGTGGTGCAATTCACAGCAGCTTGGATCCCAATCAGTCACTACAAGGCCGACTAGAATACAGGTAGTCTTCGACTTACAACAGTTCATTTAATGATTGAAGTTACATCACTGAAAAAAGTGACTTATGACTATTTTTCACATTTACAACCATTACAGCAGCCCGATAGTCACATGATCAAAATTCAGATGCTTGGCAACTAAATCATGATGGTTCAGTGTCCCAGTCACCATTTGTGACCTTCTGACAAGCAAAGTCAATGGGAATCCAGATTTATTTAAGTGTGTTATTAATTTTACAAGTGCAGTGATTCACTTAACAACTGTGGCAAGAAAGGTCGTAAAATGAGGCAAAGCTCACTTAACAAATATCTCACTTAGTAACATAAATTTTGGGCTCAATTGTGTTCGTAAGTCGAAAAGTACCTGTACCTTGGGCCTTTTATTTTTACTTCCTTTTTTTCCCCCAAAAAAACCAGATACCTTTTTTGTGAGGAGCCTCTGAGAATCCAAAACCAGGGATGGAAGGGCAAATCATCTCAAAAACATGGTCACCATTCAGGCCATGGTTTGCAGGGTCAGTCAAAAGAGGGATAATTTTGTACATTTCATACACTGAGCCAGGCCAACCATGGATCATCAATAAAGGCTTAGCAGACTGCCCTTCAGACAAGTGCGGAGGTTTTATATGAAGAAAATGGACATCAATTCCTACAAGAAGAAAATATAGACACAGAATCATCAGTAATAACCAAATAGATAGATCAACATAATATAATTTTCTGAGAGTCAATAGAGTGCTGGGTTGTGCCCTGTGGATTTCAAATTAGTATCTGTATTCTCAGAATAAAATTGACCGCAGCCTGAAGCAATGGCCTCTCACTCTCAAAGGTTTCTGGAGAGCAAAAATGTGGTTTCAGTTGCTTTTGCCTTATTTTTAAAAGTAATCCCAGTTTTCCGACTCCAGCAAAAAGGGGGAGTTGGGGATATCCACCTGAGTCTATGTTAAGAAACATTAAAATAAACATATTTCCCTTGTGTTCAGTGGTGGGTTGCTCCCAGTTCGGCCCGATTCGGAGAGGCGATCGCGTGCAAACCGCGCGCACAAAGAGAACCGGTAGTAAAGTCGGTTAGAACCCACCCTTGCTTGTTTATGTTTATTGGGGATGTTCTGAAAAAAAATGTTTTATCTGAACTTATATGCAGGAAAAGAGCCATGTTGTTGAAAGCATCCCTCTGTGCAAGAGAAACAACCCTGAAACTGCCTGATTAGCATGACTAGGCAGAAATACTTAAGCCAAGTTCAATTTAGTTCCCTCACCATCCAAAAAAGGATATAAGAATTGCAGTTCTCAATCCTTCCAATCTGCAAAGAGGCAAACTGATTGGCCCCATTCACCACACATTGTTTCAGATAGCCAGTTGGCCACACTTATAAAGTTCCCTTATAAGCATAACAACATTCACAGCTGACTAAGTCCTTTTTCAAGGACATGTGGATATCCATGGTTATCCAGCTTACTCCATCTTGTTCTCTCCATGTCCTTGGCACAGAAAAAGGAAAGATAACAAAGAGAGGAATGTTGACAATTGAGAGAACAAGAGGAGGAAACTCTTGTATCGGGGAAAAGTATGAAATATAATAAAGTTTTGTGTAAAGATTCCATCTAACTGTTGTGTGTTCACTCATAACTTAAAGGAAGTACCAGAATGTATTGACTGGCAAACAGGATATGGCAAAGTTCAGGGATGGATGCTAAGAACACAAATGGCTTAAAATACTCTATAGTACATACTATAGTAATTATTAGTGGCAAACCTTCAATCTTTGTTTTGAATTGTGGGAATTGGTTGAGAATTTCCACTTGTTTCTTCCAGTTGAATTGGTTTCTCCAATAAGAGACAATTTTCTTAAGGTAAGTTCCATTAAACCCATAATGAAAATAACTGTCCTCTAATGGCTCTACAAATCTAGCTTTGTCAAGTCTTTGATGTAAATCCTAGAACACAAGCAAAGTGTGTACAGGAAAAAGAAGGTAAAATTAAAAAAAGAAAACTTGGATATCATGTAATGTCCTGTTAATGACTGCAATGAAGTTAAGTAAATATATCATGTATTGTAAGCTATATATAAAACATGGAAAAGGAACACAGTGAACTACAACACAGATGCAAATCTTCACAAAGATGCTGTAACTTAGGTAGAGATTATAATCTTTTCAGATTGGGTAGAAATCCCTCTTGGCCTGGAGACTGAATGAATGAAATGACAAGACTTTCAGTAGTGTTTTTACTTCAGCTGTGGCAGCCCTACTTTTTTCACGCCAGTGCTGACTCAAGGTTGTGTGGCATCTGAGCCCACACTGACTGCTGGCACTGCCTCCTGCTGATGTGAGCATTTAGCATTTTTATAATAGCCTTCCTTTTCAAAAGAAGGGATGGTGTTGGCGCCCCTAATTTTTGATGTCATCAGCCAGTTTCTACTTGGCCTTAACATAAAGCCAACCATGCACATGCCATCATTAAGGTGGGGACAAAATGAAAAAAAAAAAGATCTCCATGTCAGCTGCTGGATAAAAACTGAGGTACAACTATAATAAATACATTATAAAATCCTTTGTGTTGTTAGTTGCGAAGTCGTGCCCGACCCATTGCGACCCCATGGACAACTTTCCTCTAGGCCAGTGTTTCTCAACCTTGGAAGCTTGAAGATGGATGGACTTCAACTCCCAGAATCCCCCAGCCAGCGCTGCTGGCTGGGGGATTCTGGGAGTTGAAGTCCACCCATCTTCAAGCTTCCAAGGTTGAGAAACACTGCTCTAGGCCTTCCTATCCTCTACCATCCCCTGGAAACCATTTAAGCTCACGTCGACTGCTTCAGTGATTCCATTCAGCCACCTTATTCTCTGCCGTCCCTTTCTTCTTTTGCCCTCAATTGTTCCCAGCATTAGGCTCTTCTCCAGTGAGTCCTTCCTTCTCATTAAGTAGCCAAAGTATTTCAGTTTCATCTTCAGGATCTGGCCTTCTAAAGAGCAGTCAGGGTTGATCTCCTCAAGGCTGACTGGTTTGATCGCCTTGCAGTCCAAGGGACTCGCAGGAGTCTTTTCCAGCACCATTGTTCAAAGGCCTCAATTCTTTGATGCTCAGCCTTCCTTATGGTCCAACTTGCACAACCATACATTGCAACTGGAAAAACCATAGCCATGACTATATGCATTTTTGTTGGCAGGGTGATGTCTCTGCTTTTTAGTATGCTGTCTAACTTTGCCATAACTTGCCTCCCCAGGAGCAAGTATCTTTTAATTTCTTGGCTATAGTCCCCATGTGTGGTGATCTTGGAGCCCAGGAAAATAAAATCCTATACTGGGAACATAGTGTAGTCTTAATGAGAAATGGGCCGTAAGCCAAACCAAATCAGACATTCTGTATCTAGCTTCTGGGTGATATTATCCCCATTCTTCAATTTCCCCCCCTTCTGAGGACTTGAAAAAATATCACTACTTTTTTCCTGTATTTTATCCTATGCATGGAAGTAATCATTAAGAGTTATTATTTATATTTCAATTAAAAGTTATAGATTATATGTCATTTCACTAAAAAGCTTTTCTTAAAATTTGCTGTTTCTGTCAACAATATGCCATTATCTGTATATTATATGCCTAACTGAGGCTTCTTTAATATCACCCCAACCAGTAGTGGGTTTCAATTTCGGCCACTACCAGTTTTCTTGTAGGCGCGCTCGCACATGCACGACACTTCTGCACATGCGCAGAAACTTCTGTGAAGAGATGTCCGGGCGGGTGGGCGGAGCCGCCTGTCGCCACTGCTACCAGGATGAACCAGTAGCAACCCATCACTGACCCCAACCAACAAATCTATATATTTACTATAAGTACATTCAAGAAGGACATCGCCCATTCTCATCTTATTGCGTGATTAATGTTGCTATGCTTTCATTTTTTTTCTCTACTTGCATCATATATTTCATTCAAGAAACTTCTAATTATTCAGACAAAACTTGTCACAATTCAAGTTATTTGTATTTTGTCCCTAAATCTACAAATCTACAATATACTTTTTTTACATTCATATATTTCTCAATAATCTATTAAAAAACAAAAATCTGATCTGCATATTCTGCCCAACTTAAACTTTCCAAATTTTATTCAGTGACTTCTGCCCTCTCAATTAGTTTGTCATGAACTCACTATGTATAAGTTGTCATTTTAACATAATTGGGATTTGATGTCAATCTTGCTGACATCATTGATGTCAATGTCCCATACATTCCTGTAGGACTTTTCCATATAATCTTATTGTTGAACAATAAATCACATACATTTCTTATGTATCATCATAGTAGTTAGTACTATGATGGGGGAATTCTTTTTTCTAATGGTGTATTAAATGCTTTATACAATGTGTCTGAGAAGGAAAAGAGCATCATGAAACCCTGTTGATTATAATATGCCATGTGGCAAGTAATATTTTTAGAAAGTCTTTCCTTCTTTTGACTCAGAAGGAATGTCTTCTATAAAGAGTTATGGTTGGGGCACTATCACTTTAATTGATGCCTCTCTGTTGTGTGCTTCGTTTAACATTTCTTTCTCTTTCCATTCAGCATGGAAATGCGGGCTCCCATTTTCTATAGATTAAAAGCCGTGGTTGAGCAGTGGTTAGAATGTAGTATTGCAGGCTAATGTTGCTGACTGCTGGCTGCCAGCAATTTGGCAGTTCGATTCTTACCGGCTCAGGGTTTACTCAGCACTCCATCCTTCTGAGGCTGGTAAAATGAGGAGCCAGATTGTTGAGGGCAATATGCTGACTCTGTAAACCACTTAGAGAATGCTGTAAAGCACTGTGAAGCGGTATATAAGTCTAAACGCTATTGCTATTAAACAGGGTCTTGCATAGTCTCTCTTTTTTTTCTGTGAAGACAGCAACTTTCTATGCTTCTTATATCAGTTATTCAAATTAAAGTCAAGAGGTAATAGTGAGGTTAATCTGAAGTACTTTACAAGTACTTTAATGCTTTGCCTGCAATTCTAACAAGTATTTGAGTAGAAGTGCTACTGCATTATCTATCAGAAAGCAGGGACAGATCTGTACAACTAGCCTAGCATGTTCTACTGTACTTCAATATGAAAGAGTGTCTTACCTTGATCTCCTCCTCTGAGGTGACCACTTTAAAAGGACGTATCGTTGTATCTGCTTCAGAGTCAGGCTTCTGTCCTGCAGCCCACCATCCATCTCCCATAGGTAGAACTTCCTCCTTTTTCTTAGTCAGGAACAAGTAGATAATGGTCCCCAAAACAGCAGCCAGTATCATTTCAAGCAACATCATGACTACAAAGTCATAATTAGAAACACTAGATTAAAGAACATTTTCATTACAGAAATGACTGACTTCCTCCCCCAGAAAGGAGCAAATAACAATTTTTCCAGTTTTAAGAAGAAGGCTTATATAATTTTAATCTGAACATGAAGCTCAGTAATATTACAGGATTATCTGAAATGGGATTGAAACATATCCTATATGCAAGGAACAATCAACTAAGATTTTGGAGTATACCTGCAATTATCCATTGTATATTAGTACATTATTTATTTATTTTATTTATATCCCACCTTTATTATTTTTATAAACAACTCAAAGAGGCAAATATATCTAATATTTCCTCCCTCCTCCTATTTCTCCCATAACAATAGCCCTATGAGATGAGTTGGGCTGAGAGACAGTGCCTAGCCCAAACTCACCCAGCTGGCTTTCATGACTAAGGCAGGATTAGAACTCATAGTCTCCTGGATTCTAGTCCGGTGCCTTAACAATAGTGGTGGGTTTCAAAATTTTTTACTATCGGTTCTGTAGGTGTGGCTTGGTGGGTGTGGCTTGGTAGGCGTGGCAGGGGAAAGATACTGTAAAATCTCCATTTCCTCCCAATCAGCTGGGATTCGGGAGACAGAGAATAGATGGGGGCAGGGCCAGTCAGAATTTTTACTACTGGTTCTCTGAACTACTCAAAATTTCTGCTACCAGTTCTCCAGAACTGGTCAGAACCTGCTGAAACCCACCTCTGCTTAACAACTAGACCAAACTGGCTCTCTGCCTCATATACATACATGTATAGTGCATGTAGCCATTTGAATTGCTGGTAAAGGCTAAGTAGGAGCACTCATAATTAGCTAGGAATTGTTTCTTTACCACAGTCTTTACCAATTTAATCCCATATATACTGTGAATGATGAGACTTAATACTAATGCAGATAAGTCAGAATTCATCAAGCAAGAACAAAGCCTTTTTTGGTAATTTCAAGTTACACAGCATTTTATAAGAAGTCAGAGTCAGATCTTTCAATGGCAGCACTATAGAATTTATGCTAAAAATCTATTAATGCTTAAAGCACCAGTCTTGTGAATCAAGGAATCATACAGATGTTTGTATGATAAAATAAACTATTGTAAATAAAATGAAATAATCTTATTTACCCTAGTGTTTAATTAAAAAAATGACACTGCACTTTTCTGTCATTGTTTGCCATCGTTTCTGGTTTTTTGGGTGTTTCATAAATAAATAAATAAATAAATAAATGCATTTCATAAATAAATAAGATATTAAAGCTATTTTGCTCTCATGTAAGATGCTGCATATTATCAGTTGCTTTATTACTGTAAGTTTATTTCTGTTAGATGTTTCAAAATCATGAATAAAAACAAGTTGTAAATATAACAAATGAAATAAAAAAAAACAACTCCAAAAAAGAATTAAACAGAAATATACAAGTTATTGCCTAGCAGAAATCACATAACTACAAATCATATAACCCACATTACATCTACCCACACAGACTCTTGATAGAGGAATTCACAGGAAATACTAGCTTCAGCAGTTTGCTTTCTGGGCAATATTTGTAATAACCATCAAAGCAGTTACACTATGTACAGGCCAAAGGAGAACCATAATAAGGGTATGTATATTGTACATTAGAATAGCGTGGGAAATAAACATGGAGGATTAGAAATGGAAAGCAAATATGATGAAATAGGAATCACCGAAACAGCACTGGAAAGTTATTATATTCAGAAGAAGCAGTAGAAAGGATGCTGTTATCCTTTTTCACGATATTTTTTTTGGATATGTGGATCCAAAGGATATCTGTCACCCTCTTTCAAGATACTTTTTAACTTGTAGGCTACTTCCCTCTGTCTAAAATAAGAAAAAGCAATACATCATTTGCAAAAAGATCTCACCTATTAGGAATTTATCCTATCACATTCAGTAGATTATGCCTGGTTTTTCCAATATAACTACAGTATCTTCTAGCTTTAGAAACAGGTTGGAAATTTAAAATACTTGTAGTTTGCTGTCTTTTCTCTTGCAAATCAATGATCTCCTTATATGATATAAACATTAGAACTGTGAAATGCTTCAAACTTGAGTTCTAAAAAGCTATTTCACAGCCTACGAGAATGTGAATGCAGTATCTGTTGGCCACTCATTAAAGCAGTCAGATGATCTTAGAAATAGATGTGATTAATGAGTGGTCAACAGATACTGCATTCACACACTTTCATACACTCTAAGGAAGCAATGCAAAGATTTTTTAAATACTTTTTGTTTTTACGCTTTTTTGCACTCATGGTCAAAATATGGCCAGCTTGCACTTTAGACAGCTTAAGTAAAGAATGAGTTTCTTTAATATTAATTGTTCTGAGATTTTTAAAATATAAACAAAGTGAAGATTATAGTTTACAGAATTTTGTATTTAAACAATCATTACTATCTTGAGAATTATGAATTATTACCACTTCAAATTTCAAATAAATATTCTTCAGGGAAGGCATTATTCAAAAAGTATTTTGCTGTACAGGCTCTCTTGAGTTAGTCTTTCCAGAAATGTTTCACAATAAACAGAGTGGTTTGATTTTGACCTGTTGGTAAATATGACCGTCTCAAAAAAAATATTTTTTAAAAAATGAAAATCACAATACCGCATTTTTTTATTGTTTTAAAGAATACCAACTTTTTGTTTTTACTCTTTTTTGCACTCACTGTCAAAAGATGGCCAGTTTGCACTTTAGACAGCTTAAGAAAAGTCAGTGCTAGCAAATTTGAGAACTCAAGCTGAAAGGTTAATTAAACAAGAACTTCAGCTTGCTTTTGCTGTTCACTGCAGGAAATGTAACAGAGATCCTCACACAACAGATTTGGTCCCAGATTGGAGCAACTATTATGAATAATACATCAATAAAAAAGGAAGGTAATTCCATTTTCCACATGGAAATCACCAAGTGTAGGCCCTTTCTCCCGCCTCTCTTTCAGAGAACTCTGGAGTGCCCTTTCCTGGTTATTTGGGTATTGGTTGACCCAAGGAGCTCTACGCAATTCTTTCTGTCCAGTTGCTGTTTTTCTTCCAATAAATGTGGTGTCATGGAGTCTTCCATCTGGATGCAAAGGACAAAGTTTGTTGGGTGTCTGCAGATTCTCAGTCATCCAGATCAGGGGTCCCCAACCTTTTGGACCTCAGGGACCATTAAATTCATAATTTTAAATCCCGCGGACCACTAATATGATCTGCCTAATGACCGGCTGGATGGGCATGGGTAGGTGATCATGTGACTGGGTGGACTTGGCTAACTTGATGTCACACATATCGAGGGGCGCCTCGCCAGCCTCTACTTGCCCCTCCCCTCTTCCCCACTCCTCGCCTGCCTGCCCGGGCTACTTAGGGCCCCAACAGGAAGCAGTTGTTGGAGCTAAGCAGTCACCATGAGAAAGAGTTGGCAAAACAGCTGGGTCAGTTCAAATTGGATCTGGCTGAAAAGGAGGCTCAGCAGAAGCACCTCACTGATGACTATGAGCGTAGGCTTTCCTAGCAGAGAGAAGACCAGCAGGAGTGCAAGGCCAAGTGCCAGTGCCTGGAGGCTCAGCGGGCTGAGATGGTCATCCAGTTCCAGGCCATGATGCAGTCCCACTGGAACAAGGCCCCCTGGCTCTTTCCCACCAGCGGTGCTTCCCTCCAGCCTTCGCCCAAAGCCCTGCACCAGGAGGCTGAAGCAGTCCCCAAGTCAGAATTTTTGCCCCCCTCCGACCTGCACAAAAAGACCCTGAAGGGGGAGACTCTCTGCAACAACACAAATGTTCATTGCACGTATTCGTCCCAGGGGCCATAGTTTGAGGATGTTGTGGTCCACCAGCAGCCTCTGGAGCTGGCAGCAGAGTCGGACAGTGAGGAGGCTGGAAAGGACAATGGGCCACTCCTGGAGTCTGGGGAAGGCCTGGATGAGGGATCTGCATTGGAGGCAGAGATGGGCCCAGGGCCATCTGGGAGTGATGCGCAGACTCCGGAGCCTCCAGAGTTGGACAGCAGAGAGGCAGAAGAACAGGAGGAGCCTGTTCCTAGTGCACGCATGCACAGAGCTGCCAAAAGGCAAGAGCAGCTAAAGCAAAAGGGACGACTCGGGACTAAGGTCAGGAGATGATTGGCCCCTCCCATAAGGCTTAAAAGAGCATCAAAGGCTCTTGGGCTCTTTGTAGGAAAGCAACATTGCTAAATCTGTTTCCAGTTGGTGTCTCTTGTTTCTGAACTTCATGGGGCTTTGCCAAGAAAGGCCTTTGGCAGGGTACCAAAGAAGATAAAAGGTTTGTGATAAGCCCGAAGATCTTATTCTGAAAAACTTGGTTTACAATTAATTTGGACTAAGCTGGGAATGAAGTAATTCTCAGCTGTTATAATAAAATAGGTTTGTTTGGGACTAATTGTGTCTTGTAATGACTAAGTGAGCCTAGGTCACAACAGAGGACCCCGATTTAGTGTAATATAAAAAATGCAAATAATTTTTCTGCAGACCACCAAAATTTTCTTGTGGACCACCAATGGTCCACTGACCACCAGTTGGTGACCACTGATCCAAATCATAGTTGTCCCAAAGGTGCTTTTTCAAAAGGCAACTGGACTTTGTTTTTTCCTTGAAGATGTTTTACATCTCATTCAAGAAGCTTCTTCAGTTCTGACTGAATGGTGGAGAATGGAAGGTTTTATATTCTTTGCAGTCATCTGATCATTAGCATTCTCACTGAGAGTCATTGAGGCCACTTGAAGGTTTATCTGTGCCCTGAGGGTGCAAATGGGTTTGGAACCTTCTTGGAACTGCTGTGTTATAAACAGAAGATACATGGTATTGTGTTCCTTTCCCTTTGTTGAGACAGGGCTCTTCAAATTTTAGGCAGAGGACCTCTTTGACCCCCCTTTCATTCTGGAAGTCCTCTCTGTCCAGAATGTGAACTTTGCTGTCTTCAAAAAAATGACCTTTGTTTTTCCGTTTAACATTTTTATTGTGTTATAAA